AGCGAAGACACCTTAAAAGTTACATGGGGGAAAAGCTGGCGCTAGCCGCAGCGAAATCGATCTAGCCTGAAAAGCTAGGAAATGGTGGGCACGTAGACACAGCAACGTTGGCTGCTTTACAAATAAATATCATCATTCATGGCTGCATATTCTAGGTGCATACAGTACTGCTTGGCAGATCCAATGCTTGTACACAGATCGTAGGTTTATCAGTGACAATATCTACCGTTGCTTTTCATTTCGAGAACGTGTCCACATGCACATGTGGCCTCAAAAGCAACAAGCAGCTTGCAACAAAAGCAAAATTCTTTGTCTTCTTTAGTCTCGGAAAGTTCTCTGTTATTCGCATTGTTGAACCACTGCCTCCATGATACGCTTAGAACTCACCATACGACGCCATCAGCCCTGTGATTTGACTCAAATCCTCTTCGTTCTAGGCCGAAATCATGATCTAAAACAGTGAAAACCAACAACGGTTTCGTTTTAACTGTTGTAAGCTTTGGCTCTTTCTCTCTAATCTCCCTCATTCCTCTTGTCAGCCCTTTCCGCAGATACTCGTACCAAATGGCTGGAAGTTCATCATTCAAAATAACGAACTGCGGGCATGAGCCATTCGTAGACCCAAACCGAGAGATGCTTTAGGTTCCAGGGTGAAGAAATCTTTCTGCTGAAACAAGGTGACGGGATGAATATTTTTTATATGAGATGGCCTGAGGAGTAACTCAGTTACTCGCAAACACGTCAGTCGGCGGTGGATCGGATTTTTGTACGCGACCAGGTGAAGTTACAACGAGAATATTTCGTTCATTCAATCCCATAGAGGAACAAGAGGGAATAATGTGTTGCTCATAACAAACCCGATAATAGTACTCAAATCACTAAAAGCCACCATGTGATCACTAAAAGTCACCATGTGATGTTAACAAATGTTGTACATGTACAGCCTTACCCGAAGAAGCGGTCGAGATGAGACACAACGAAGAAAGAAGTACGACGTTGAGGATCAAAGTGTGAGGTTTAGCAGCAGCAGCAGGATTCGAGAGCAAAGCCAGCGAGCAAGCAGGAGCCAACTAGATTCAACCGAGAAACGCTCATACGCTCGCAAAACTCTCTACGAAGTAGCACAGCAGTCCATGAGTTGCTCACTCGCTCGCTCACTCACTCACTCCATGGCCATCCATGATGAGGAGGCGGACCCTCATGCGCACGGGAAACAATGGCACACTACAAAGTGTACTCATCAGCACAAGCTCTACAGGTAGCTCCGGACACTTCAGCATAGTGCTGGTAGCAGCTACCGCAGGCCGATACAACATGTAAGGCGGGTGTAGATTAGAGTGGCTACGCATCCACCATAGCAGCAGTTGCTATGCCTCGTAGATGCTATGATTCAGCTACTGCTGTTGCGGATTGGATGAATGGGCTCCGTCGGGGTGCAGGAGGAGGAGGAGGGGGGAGCAACAAGGAGCAGCGAGAGCGAGAGCGAGCTGCCGAAGCAAAGATGAAAGTGCCTCCGAAAGGCGAGAGCTGATACTGTAGAATGAGTAGAGTAGAATATAGTAGCTCGAGTGTGGATGTAAGAGAGTGCGATAGGGCCCACTCGATGAGCCAAATGAGAGAGAAGGCAGGAGGAGGAAGAGGATCATGAGGGATGCGGAGAAAAGGAGAAAAACATTCTAGGGGCACCTCTTTCCTTATTTCGCGGAGTCGTCATAACTCGAGATCAAGTACCTTCCATCTTTCGTTCGTTCGTTCTCCTCTTCTTCCTTTGTATCTTTCGTCCCGCATCCCCAAAAAACCCCAGGCCCCTCCCACCCAGGTAGCCTTGTAATACTATTTATGATTTAGAGCATCATTCACATCGCCCCTTTTTTCTCTCTCTCTCTCTCTCTCTCTCTCTACCTGGACTTACCCCCTCCCTCCAGCTCCAGCTCCAGGACTCGGGAGCAGAACGATGGTAGAAAAGGGATAGAAAAGGTGGAGGTGGGCTGGGGTGGGCAGGGTTCTACTGGAGATCATGGACAGCTATGGGAGATTGCAGTTTCTTTTTCGTGGGGAAGCGGTCTTCTTGGATATTCGTGAAACATAACGTTAGCGTTAGCAAAGTTGATTGTCAATGTAGTACAAAAATAAAGGGCACTTTCCTATTCATGAATGTTTTCAAATTGCTGCTAGCCGTATAGTGTTGGTGCCATTCCTATCTTTAAGAATGAAAAAAATCAAGATCTTTAGATGATGCATTTTTCCATCTCAAGGTATGCCACTAGAAAACCGGATCCTCCACTTCAATCACTCTGCCAACCACAAACAAAGAGTGACAAGAGGCTTCAACTTAAGTGTTGTATTTTTTCCAAAATATCCCTCCACTTCAGCTGGTGTTCAATGCCATGTAAAGATCCAAAAATTGTTGGACATAAAGCATTCATGTGTCATTGTTTGCATAAGATGATGACAGAAAAAGAGATAATGGATATTGAATGTGCTTTCCATGGAAAAAGCCTTTAATACGCCTTCCACTTATTAGATTTCACTGACACAAATGCGGTATCCAACATCTCCAGATTTTTACGAAATCTCTTGTAAGGGGGAGATGGTTTATCTTCCCTTGAGGCCACGATAAGGCGGCTTGATGTCTTTTGGTCTTGATGGTGCCTTTGCAAGGTAGTAGATAATGAAGGTGCAATTCAGCAATTAAATTCAGTAGGTCGAAAAATATGAAAGGGATAAAATATATTCACATGCCGACGTTGCTCTTCCCGTCACTTTCAGATTTGGCCATTCAGAGTTTAGTGGTTTCAGATGTGCATCGGGACGAGGCGAGATCTCTTCCACAGCCACTATTGATCCGAATTCAAGTGCTTCTAGGGATGTGAAAGAGAGGAATGTAGCCGACGTGATGAAGATCTGCCTTTCTGCTTCTCGCTGCTGTAGTAAGTTCAATTTACCAAGACAATAAATTAACCTCCTGAATTTGGAGGGGAAAAAAACACTTCCTCTCGTGGAGAATAGATGAAGCTCGAGGGACAGCATGATGGACATATCCACTGTTGGTACTTGTTGCATTCCCTTTCTGAATCTGAATCTCATAGAAAGGAAGAGAGAGAAACTGGGATGGGGAGAGAGTAGAGAGAGAGGGTGGGAGAGGAGAGCAGGATGAGGGGAGCAAGGGAGAAAGTTGGACCTTTCTTCTGAGCTGCTGGATGCTGACCACCATTAGCTGCTGCACTTTTTCGCAACAAGTCAATGTGCTGTTCTCTGGAATGGCGGACGTGAATCATAAGGATGAGATACGGCAAACTGAATGTCAGTGTGGTCACGAGTCCCCATTCTTAATTTCAATGAGAAACGACGAGAGGAGCGCACTCAAAGCACAAGCGAAGGGAGGTGGCGAGAGACAGACAGACAGACAGACAGGGCGGAGCGAGTGAGAGTTTCGTCAGAATTGACCATGGTGGACTCTCTATATCCATCCAGAAGGGCACGGGTAATCAAACCACGATCTGAGGAAAGCGTCCACTTTGTCCTTGGTGTTGTAGCTCACTGGTACATGATTTGGAGAAGATTAGCACCTGCGAGCAAAAGCTCCAAGCTTTGCTTTGGAGGCTACAGTCGTCATCCACTACAACTCACTTTGGACCGAGGTCCCCGCTAAAGCCAGAGCTGAGTATAAATGGGGGAGGCCTTGTAGGTGTTGATAAGGAACTACTTAGCTGGACAAAGGGATGGATGGAGGGAGGCTACTTCCATAGCAAGCCACATTGGAGCATAACGGATGCCTAGCTCCATAGGTATTGAATTTGCGTTATCCATCGGTGCTACGTAGGCGGATGTGAGAACATACACAAATGCGGTTAGACAAATCGTCAGGACCTTGCGCTAAAGGTCATATAGGAATGGAGAAAACGATAAACGATGGCTGGCACGGGACTAAATCTAGTGTCAGTAACCACTCGCGAATTTGGAGGCATAGATAATCACGAACATTAGGCTTGACCAAATACGGACTCAGAGCTTCTAGATTGATTTTTTGTCCTGGTTTTGCAGCAGTCTAGAGCTAGTCAGGAAGACACGAAAGCAACTAGAAGGCTGGCAGGCAATGGCAGGAAGGAAGGAAGGAAGGAAAGGAAAGGAAAGGAAAGGAAAGGGAAAAATGAAGGACGTATGGAAGGATGCGTCGATGGACTTCGTAGCTGTTGATGCGAATTATCCCACTAAGAAGGGGCTCAGTGAATATGGATGAGTTAGTCAGGGCCAGGAGTCAGTCAGCAGTTGTTTCGACGAGAGGAATGGGTCCATCTCTCTCTATATCTATCTATCTATTTACCTATCTATACCGTGGACGGCCTTCTAGCTACGGTAGTCCCTTCTTCTGGACAGTCAGAGTCTGAGTCTGGAGGCGGGGCTAAAGTCAGGAGGGGAGGGCGTTGGAAGGAGGGTCCCTGCAGCGGCAATCAATCATGGGGACGTAGTTTTGTTTGATATGCTGTTGGCTGTTGGACTTGGCATGACGGAGACAAGAGGAGAGGAGACGGGAGGCGAGTAGGGGGGAGGGAAGGGAGAAGGAAGGAGGCTGGACAGAAAGATTCAGGGGGGATTTGGACGTTTGGAGCTTTTGGGTGCATCGGGATGAGGAGTAATGTCTGACAGGTTAAGGTTAATGAGTAGGCTGACTGCACCTCGTCCTCGGCGCGGCTCCGGCCTCCTGCTGCTTCTTTCTCTCTCTCACCTTCTCTCTGTTGGTGCTGCTGCAGCTGCAGCTGCGCGAGGGAAGAAAAGGAAATGCGCAGTACGGAGATGAGGTGAGATGATCTGAGATGGGATGAGATGAGATGAGAGGAGAGGAAAGGAGATGAGAGCAAAAGCAAGGACTGCGCCGTAGCTCGCACACTCGCTCACTCAGCTGCCTCCCTCGCACACAAACGCACGCACGCAGCATACATACAGCCCCCAGCCCCTCCTCCTTGGCCCACCCACATCCCCATCCTCGTCCTCCGTTCACAGCCCAGCCAGCAGGGAGCGAGGGAGGGAGGGAGGGAGGGAGGGGAGCCTGGGAGCCTGCCGTCGTGCTGCGAGTGCCCATGTGCTCCTCGCTCTCTTGTACCGTCGCGCAGTTTTCTAACTTCCCAGTTAGAGAGAAGTCGAGTGTCCAGGGCTGGGATTTATCTCGTGTGCGTCTTACTAGTCGGGCGCTCTCAATACTGCTACTAATCCGCCCCACCTACCAACAGCCCCGCGAGTCCTTCAGCTCTCCTTCGCTTTCCGCTCGCGCCCCCAGCCCCGCCTACTTCTACCTTACTGCTCCATCTCCCCTTTCCGACCGACCCAGCGAGCTGGTGCGCCATCATCTCTCCCTCCCTCCCTCCCTCCGATCGAGTCCCTCGAGCTTGTCTGCAGCTGCTGCTGCTGCATCGACTCTTCCCCCCTTCCATGTATCGTGACTTATATTTCTCATAAGCCCTGTACATTCTCTGTACTCCATCAGTGGCAGCTCCTGCAGCAGGCCCCGCAGCTGCCCAAGCTCCAGCTCAAGCTCGAGCTCGAGCTCGAACTACCTTCACCACGCATACCCCCCTCCCTCCTTCTTCGCTCTCCCATGCGCGCTACAATTCTGTTACGGCGCAACGCTCACTTCGCGCTCGTTCTCTCTTCCTCCCCACCCTCATCGTCGCGTTGTCTCCTTGCGTTACCGCAGGTTCTGCTGTTGTGGCTCGTCTGAGGCCCCACCTTCTCTCAGACGTCTCCAACTTTTTCTCGTCCATATTGGAAACGACAGCCTCTGCCGATGGCGCGAGCGCACTGCGTCGCTAGCCTGCGCCACTGAACCCGAACCCCGACTGTCGACAGCTGAATCGTCACCGAGGTGAGTGAATGAGCATCCGCAGCAGCAGCAGCAGAAGCACATTTCCAGCATGTCTACGAGCGCGCGGAGCGAGGACCTCATGCGCGAGGAGTTGTCATTCTGGTCCCGCGAGCTGGAGAATGGTTACGGGCGAGAATGTGCAGGTTGGCATTGACTGCCAAGGACGGAGGAGGACACCAACGACGACGACAACGACGACGAGCTTGCTGTGTTAGACGTAAGCTCACCCGAGCAGGCCTGATCATCAGCCTCGAAAAGGAATGCACAGGAAGACAACCGAAGATTCACTCGTCAGTCGTTTCATTCGATCGAGAAGAAACGCCTCACAGCATTTCGTAGGCTGGGAATGGAACGGACGAAAAGGATATTGTGAGTGAGTGATGAGTGACTGACGAGTGACTGAGTTAGCGAGCGAAGGAGCGAGTGACTGAGTGATGACTGAGTGATGAACGAGGGGCAGGCTGGCCAGCTCGGATATAAATCTTGCACGTAAGTCAGCAGCTCGGTTCGTCCATCGAGCGATCGCTCATTTTCAGAGCATCGTCAGAGAGCCAGCGAGCGAGCGAGAGTCTGAGAGCAGCATTTTCGAGCCGATGAGCGGGGCCAGTATTTTTAGCCCGACAGTCGCGATGGGCTGCGAGAAGGTCAGGCGCCGGGCGCCGGGGATTCGCGCGGCGCTAACAGGAACGAAGGCGTGGCTGCTGACGGCGCTGATGCTGGTGCTGTCGCTGGGGCACAGCCACGCGCTGAACTCAGACGGGAGGGTGCTGTTGAGCTTCCTGCGCACGGTGAGCGCGGACTCCCGGCCCACCTTCAGCAGCTGGAACGGACGAGACGCCAATCCGTGCAGCGGATGGCTCGGGGTGACCTGCGCCAACGAGACGGGGCGGGTGGTGAACGTGACGCTGCACTCGCTGTCGCTCTACGGGAGCATTCCGGAGGAATTTGGGCTGCTGGACGCGCTGGAGCATCTGAGTCTGTCGGCGCTAAATTTGACGGGCCCCATCCCACTGGGACTGACCAAGTGCACGAAGCTGAGGACGCTGGATTTGAGCAGCAATGGGCTGACGGGCAACATCCCGGCCGAGCTCGGCCTGCTGGGCGAGCTGCGCGAGCTCCGGCTGAACGACAACAATTTCGATGGACAGCTGCCTGCCGAGATAGGCCGCTGCTCGCAGCTCGAAATCTTCTACTTCTACCAGAATAACATCAGCGGGACTCTGCCGCCCGAGCTCGGCGACCTGTCGAGGCTTTTGCAGATCCGCGGGGGAGGGAACGAATTTCTCGGTGGCCCCATTCCTCCTGAGTTCGGGAAGCTGAAGAACCTCACGGTGCTGGGCTTCGCCGCCACGCATCTGTCCGGAAGCATTCCGCCCGAGCTGGGAGGCATGGAGAGCCTGCAAAACTTTGCGCTCTATGGATGCAATCTGACCGGGAGCATCCCCAAGGAGCTGGCCGACATCTCGACGCTCCAGGCCTTGTACTTGCACCGAAATCGGCTGTCGGGCTCGATTCCGCCCGAGCTGGGAAAGCTCAAGCAGCTGACGTATCTGTACCTGTGGCACAACGAACTGACTGGCAGCATTCCTCCGGAGCTCAGCAACTGCACGTCGCTGCAGGTGCTGGAATTGTCGTATAACAAGCTGACGGGCAGCATTCCGCCGGAGCTGGGGCGGCTCGAATTCCTGCAGCAGATGCTGCTGAGCATGAACAATTTCACGGGCACGCTGCCGCCCGAGCTCGGCAACCTGGCGAGCCTCTTCAGCCTGCAGCTCGACAACAACCTCTTCTACGGCCCAATTCCGGCCGAATACGGCCGCCTCAGCCGCCTGCAGACCTTGTTCCTGTGGATGAACAACTTCTCCGGCGAGATACCGGTGAGCATGGGCAACTGCAAGGCGCTGGTCGACTTCGACGCCACGCACAACTCCTTCACGGGCCCTCTCCCCCCGGAGCTCTTCCTGCTGCCCAATCTGCTCAGACTCAGACTCCTCTCCAACAACCTCACAGGCGAGGTACGTGCCCAGCGGCAGCTCAATGGCGCTCCTAGCGAGCCCTTGCATTTCGTGTTAGCGCATTATTATTGAGCGTGAGGGGTGTTCGTTGATTCGTTCATTCGTGCGTTTTGTCTTCGTGGGTGATAAGTGCTATTTTCCTGCGTCGGGGTAAATGATTGGGTCGAGTGATGGTGGTGGAAGTCAACTTTTATTCCTCGAGAGGTTGGTTTGGGGTTCGTTAAGTGATGTCATCTCTCGCGAGCTGGGGTCGCTGACATTTGGTCGATGGGTTTGGTGGTGGTTCTGGGATGGGACAGATACCCAGAGAGATCGGCAAGGCGACGAACCTCGTGCGCCTGCGCCTGGCGAACAACAGGTTCGAGGGGACCATCCCCGTGGAGATCGGGCAGCTGCAGAACCTGCTGTTTCTGGACCTGTACAACAACTTCCTGAGCGGCGAGCTCCCGAGGGAATTGGGCAATTGCTCGGCGCTGGAGCTGATCGACGCGCATGGCAACCAGCTGACGGGCTCCATCCCGGCCGAGATCGGCAAGCTGGCGAACTTGCAGATCTTCGACATCAGCGAGAACAGGTTCCAGGGCCCCATCCCGCCTGAGGTTGGGCTGCTGCGATCGCTGAACCAGCTCGTGCTCAGCAGCAATTCGCTGTCGGGCCCGCTGCCGGGGACACTGGCGCAGTGCCAGAAGCTCGAATTGCTCAACGTGAGCCGCAATCGGATCGACGGGCCGATCCCGCCGCAGCTCGGCAGCGTCGTGAGCCTGGTGATCGGCGTGGACCTGAGCTGGAACAAGCTCTCGGGCGTGCTCCCGCCGCAGCTCGCGTCGCTCATCAACCTGCAGCTGCTGGACCTGTCGTACAACGAGCTGAGCGGGACGCTCATGGTGCTGGGCCAATTGGACAGCCTCTCGACGCTCAATGTCTCGTACAATGACTTCTCGGGCCTTCTGCCCGACACCTACTTCTTCAAGACCATGCCGGCCTCCTCGTTCCTGGGCAACAAGGCGCTGTGCGTCACCGAGGCCAACTGCTCGTACATGCCTGCCTTCGCGGGGGCGCGCGATGGCCGAGCCAAGCCGGGCATCGCCGGCACGCCGCTGGTGGTGAGCTTGCTGTTCGGCTCGGCGGTGGTGATTCTGTGCGTGGGGTCGTTCCTCTTCTACAAGCGCTATTGGGTCGACGCTGAGTACGAGGAGGACGAGGGCCCATGGCCGTGGCGGCTGACGCCATTCCAGAAGCTGAATTTCACTTTGGGCGAGGTGCTCGAGAGCTTGGTCGAGAAGAACATCGTGGGCAGTGGGTGCTCGGGCATCGTGTACAAGGCGGAGATGGATGGCGGCGAGGTGATCGCAGTGAAGAAGCTCTGGCCCGTGCGCAAGGGCGAGGCGCACCACAACTCGTTCGCGGCCGAGATCGACATTCTGGGCGGCATCCGGCACCGCAACATCGTGCGCCTGCTGGGCTACTGCTCGAACAACGACATCAACCTGCTCATGTACGACTACATGCCCAATGGGTCGCTGGGCGAGGTGCTGCACGAGAAGCGGCGCATGCTCGACTGGGAGACGCGCTACAACATCGCCATCGGCGCGGCGCAGGGCCTGGCCTATCTGCACCACGACTGCCTGCCGGCCATCCTGCACCGCGACGTCAAGTCCAACAACATCCTCCTCGGCTCGCGCTTCGAGCCCTACGTCGCCGACTTCGGCCTGGCCAAGCTCATCGACGCCTCCAACACCTCCAAGGTCGTCTCCAAGGTCGCCGGCTCTTACGGCTACATCGCTCCCGGTCCGTCCCCTCCCCCATTCCCCCAATTTGCATGATCGTCGTGAAATTCTTCTCTTATTTTTATTCTTCTTATTCTTATTATTATTATCATCATCATCATCCTTCCCGTTCCTACTTAGGCCTCATCGAGTGAGCTCAGCTCAGCTCGTCGACGGATCAGTGCAGTCAGTAACCGCACTTTCTCTCGAGTTCGATTGCGTCTGACTTCGCTGGGTGCGTAGACGGATAGATGCTCGAGTTCAGGAGATGGCAACTGAGAATGAACGAAGGTCAGCTCAGCTGGGCCGAGCTCAGCTGGGTTCAGTCAGTTGCTGTGTGCATGCGTCCAAAATCCGAGGCCGAGGATCCGGGCGTTAGTCGTGTCATGATTGGGGGAGAGAGCTCTCTCGGCCTTGGAGCTTATTATTCAGACAGACAGACGAGGGAGGGGGAGGCGGGGGCGGGGGTGGGGGAGGTCGGTCGGTCGGAGGCGGCCATAAACAAGTCATATGTCCGATCGCTGGGCCAGCCCCCCTCCCCCAGGGGCTGGCTGAGTGCTGAGCTAAGCCAGGCTTTAGTACTCGCACCCTGCAAATCATAGCTCCCCTTTCAGACTTTTCATGAAAGAGGGAGCTCGACATTTAGTGCGAGGCCAGCGCAAGGGAATAGAATCCGCGATCGCGAATGATGCGCGCGGCTAGAATGGAATGGAAGGGAGAATGCTGGTGATGCCGCTGCTGTTGCTGCTATGGCGTGGCACAGCTTCGATGGGGGGTAGTGTAGGGTCAACTCTTGGCCCGTCTGTGCCTTGTCGTAGCCTGTGAGCGGAAAGGACTGACAAAGAGATGCGGTTTTGAGATTTGCGACTGATGAGGACGAAATGAAATGAAATGATGTGTGCAGAATATGGGTACACGATGAAGATCACGGACAAGAGCGATGTGTACAGCTACGGTGTGGTGCTGCTGGAGATTTTGACGGGGAGGAAGGCCGTGGAGCCCGGGCTGGGCGAGAACTGGCACATCGTCAAGTGGGTGCAGGAGATGATCAACCAGAGCAAGTGCAGCGGCAACAACCACGCGACCTGGGAGGTGATCGACTCGCGGCTGCGGTGCATGCCCGACGCCTTCATCCAGGAGATGTCGCAGGCTCTGGGCGTGGCCCTGCTGTGCGTCAACTCCGTGCCCGCCGAGCGACCGACCATGAAGGAAGTCGTGGCCTTGCTCCTGGAAGTGAAGCACGACCCCGAGGATTACACCAAGACCTCGAGTCAGTCGCTCATCAACCACTCCTCGTAGGCCGAGAGCAAGATACAGCGCGACCCACAATCAGGCAGCAGCCGCAGACTCAATCAGAGACATCTATAAATCAGTCTAAGAAGTCACCAGCCGCCCAGTCCAGCCCAGCCCAGCCAAGCCCAGCCAAGCCAGGCAGTAGCAGTCAACTAGAATTAGCGAGCGGGATATGTCGTATCTCTGCACCTGTAACGATTATAAGAACATCTCAAGACGAGGAGGACGAAGAGGAAGTGAGTTCCGTAGGGTAGAGAGGAGGGAGGGAGGGAGGGAGGGGAAACGGGGGAAAAGGAGACAGGTGACTTTTTTTTTCCAGCCCTCGACTTCAGAGACTCTAGAACTGATATGATCTGATCTAGCTCATCATCAGCAGCAGCAGTAGCAGCAGCAGCGGCTGCTCATGCTGCTGCTGCAGAAGGAGGAGGGAGTAGTAGAAGTAGTAAGTAGTGTAGCAGCAGAAGATAGAGATGGATAGAAGGAAGGACGAACGAACTATTAGTTAGGGAGTTCAGCTGAGAACTCCCACCACAGCATATCGACGATTATATCTAGGAGGAGAAACACTTGCTCTAGCTATCGTTACTATCTATGTATCGATCAGGAAATATGCACAGCAGGGGCCGTGGTGCAGGTCGGGTACAAAAGGCCATGTGCGTGTTTCCTGAGTGTGCACTCTCGAAGAACGACGCAGTGCACATTGAAAAGACAAATCTCTCCTGGCAGTAGGTTACACCTCATCCTTATCATCACCCCCTCTCAGCTAGCTGTCGGAATCGGAGGTGCTTGTGAGATTCTTTAAGCTTGTACGCTCCGAATACTCTCCACACAAATGTAAAGACGTCAAACTTCACATTTTTTTGACATGTACACAATTTCCACTTTCATTCAATATTCTCCATCTCGTGCTCCATCATCATCTCGCTTTCTCGCGGAATGCCATCATTTGGTTCGAGCCGACTTAGAATGCCCCTCAATGCCGTCATGAATCGATCAGTCAATCAATGCGTGTATGAATGTAAGAGCGAATGAATGAAGGGGCGGACGAATGGATGAAATGCAATGAAATATGCTCGGATCCAACTTTTGAAATATCCCCCTCCCGTCTGTCTGACGGCAGTACCAATAATAATAACTGCGCATAGACCTCGCACTCGAGAATCCTCGCTTTAGCGGTTCATCGCCTCTACCATTTTCATGCAAAGCCAACCGCCAGCAGCAGCTGCTGCAGCAGCAGAGCAGCAGCAGCCAGCAGTCAGACTTCATCCAGCCCAGCACAGCAAAGCGCAGGCCGCCTTCTTTCCTCCTTCCCTCTCTCCCTCCCTCCCTTTCGGTATGCATTTCCACAGGATTACAGTCATTCAGATATCTCCAGACGCATCCACCATCCGTTCATTCGCTGTGCCAGGCGTGACGCATCGGGCCCATTGGCCCATCTGAGGCAGATAGAAAGTACACTGTGTACAGCTGCGAGGGAGGCTCGGAAAGAGCCCAGGAAGCTTAATGTGTGTGTGTGTCCCCCAAACCCCTGGGCTTGCTGTGCGCTGCTGCTGCCAGGCTCTGCTCTGCGCTGCAACGGCCAGGGCTGTATGGCAGCGATGGCAGGCGTAGTATGTAAGGCACGCAGGCCGGGAGCCAGAGCTGAGCTGAGATGAGGCTGCGGATCCGAGCTGGTGGAGAAGAGAACGAGAAGAGAGGATATAAGGTTTCTACCTTATAGTAGTAGTGTGGGCAACGTGAGGGGAAGGAGAGCAATGATCCGGAGCACGTCACAAATAAACAGGTGAGCAGCAACAGTCATGGGCAAGTACACAGTATAAATTCTAAATCTAAAATAGAGGACGAGGGTAAAGATATCCTGCCGACCGGGCTGGAAGGAATGGCTCGTCATTCAATTCTGTACGCCCTCTCGACGCACACCGATTGGATTTGCAGGTCTATTCCTCACAACGAGTTTCTACCCCTCCTGGCCTCCCCCCACGTCGAGGCTACTCCGCTTCACTTCCCTTCTCTCGTCAATTCTCTCCTCTCCTCTTCACTTCTCTTCTCCCCCGTCACCTTCTCAATCTCTGCAGCTGCTGATCCTGCTGCTGGTTCTCGTCTTCCTCAGTAGCCAGTGACCATGCGAATAGTAGCCTAATGCATGCACGTGTACGAAGCTACTCGGTGCCCAACTCAAACAGGGTTCGGTCAGGGATGGAGGAAGGAAGGGAGGCAGCGAGGGAGGAGTCAGGGAGTCTGAATAAGAGAGGGCTGAGGGAGGGGAGTCAGGGACTCAGGAGGTGGTCAGGGGAGGAGAGGAGAGAAGAAGGTACATGCGCAAGCTTCGATGCTGCTCGAGCAGCAGCAGCAGCAGAGCAGCAATTACTTCGACACCGGCGGTAGCTCTCTTTCCCTTCCGTAAGGAGTCCAGATTAAACATTTATTTAAATAATGCCGGGTTTAATATCCGTGTTCGGCTCTCTCGGCTCCCCTGCCCAACCAGGCAGCCACTGCCACAATCCACAATATCCATTTCGTTCTGCGGGCAGGCCACCGCGGGTCGGAGATTTCAAAGGTCGCTCGCTCTCTCGTCTGATCTGGCCATCTAAGCTTATGGAGCCAGAATTTAATTTGCAGATTCCACATTGTTTATGTGTGATCTGGGCATTGCCCAGCTTCTGGAGCCAGAATTTATGTGAAGATGCAGAATTGTTTATATCGTGTTCATCAATCACCGATTTCTGCCCCCCCCTCCCCCCCCCCCACTGAACCCCTGCTGCCCTCTTCTGATCTGGTCTGCTCTGCTCTGCCTGTCTGCCTGGTACCACCAGGTAACGAGGCGAAGGTGAAGAGAGTTGTCGAGCTCCGGGGTCCAGAAGCTCCGATTATGATCTAGAGATAGAAAGAGGAGGTTTAGTGATGGGATGGAGGAGTAGGGAGTGCGACCGTTGCAGACGAAGAAGAAGAAGCAGAAGGAGAAGGAGAGTACATGGCGATGTAGCAGGCAAGCAAAAGAAAGGCTCCGAGAATCTCCGCTGTCAACAAGTTGGACCGGCCGGAAATTTCGCTGTGAATAGAAAACGAGATTCATGAAACATTGAATTCAAGAGGGAGAGAGAGAGAGCGAACTGAAACGGACAGGCGCAGCTGCGCAGGGGCAGTATGCCATGACATTATGCAAGTCTCTGCTGTGAGAAAAAGGAAGGGTTGAGGGAAGGGGAGGAAGGCGGTGCTGCGTTGTGTGTACATCCGAGGTGGGGCTCCCATGCTTGGCTGGTTGGCTGTCTGCTTGGCTGGTGTATGTTCTCGGTTATTCTCTGCGTCCTTCGCTTCCATCACATTACGTAACGCTACGACCAGCTTCGGCATCCATCCTTCTGTTCAACCGATCCCATCAGAGAAGAAGAAAGTCAGTCTCCTCTTCTTCTCCTCCTTCTCCTTCCAGTGCCCAGAAGTTAAAGAACTGCAAGTCAAGGGCAGGCGAAATCTGGCAATGGAAAGTTCCCGCTCTCCCCCATCTCTCTCTCTCTCCGCCTTGAGACTTGTGAACCCCCAATTTCTGGGCATCTGACTCTCTCTCTCTCTCTCTCTATCTATCTATCTATCTATCTCTCTCTCCCTCTCCTCTCTCTCTCACCCTCCCTCCCCCGTCCAGTCTCCAGCAGTCCTCTCTCTCAGAATGATTAGTCCGAGCAGGGCATTTAACACACTGATGACACGGACTCCGCTGCATATATCAATGCATGCCTTGATCGTCAGTCGTGGCAGCAGCAGCAGCGAGCTCTCTGTTTTCTCTCTCCCCCCCTGCTGCTGCTGCTAAAACCTTTCACATAACGCAGCCGATGGGCAACTCTCGACTCAAAATCTGAGCCCGAAGCACACTAAGCCAATGGGAAGTGATCAGAGATCGGTCCGGTCCGGTCCAACCTCGGCCTCTACTGCACTCAACCCTAGGCAAAGCAAGCGAGCGAGTGAGAGAGAGAGAGAGAGCAAGTGAGCAGCCATCTCATCCCGTCCTGTCCCATCTGATCTCCTGTAATCCCAGCCCATGGATCGGTTGATTTCCATCGCCTCCACCTCCCCACCGCGTATTGCCTCCGTCTCACCTTCTGACTCATTCTGCCGTCATCTCTCTGTTTTTTGCTGTGTCCCCATAATTCGGGCCTGCCATGCCTTGGAGAGCGTGAAACGCATGTCTTGTCATGACTCTTTCCTATTCTACTGCTGCTCCTGCTGCTCCTCCTCCTCCTCCTCCTTGTTCCTCCCCTAATCTTTCCCTCCCTGCGTTCTGAATCCTGATCCTCCATCTCCCTACTCCCTCCCTTCATCCCTCCAACTACAACGAGGAAAGCCAGCGGCGGCAGCAGCAGCAGCAGCAGTAGCCTCCGTCCGTCCCTCTGTCCCTCTGTCCTCCATGAGCCCCCCTCGATCGTTCGTTCACCGTATTCACACGTGACTGATCCCGATCCGGGCCATGCTCTTTCCAGTGCGGGGTTTCAAAAATAACGGATGCCATCTTTGCTCCGAGCTTCGCTTCGGGGTGCACGATGAACAGCATGAAGGAGGAAGAGGATGATGATTTCAGGGGGAGCCTTGGCTGCTCTTGTGTGCCCCACCTTACGCTTCATTGACCTCAGCTCGACACTTCGTTGCCTTCACCTTGCGCTGGTGGTGGTCACCTCTTAGCTCCCGTTGTCTTGCACTGCCTGGGCTGGCCTGGCCTTGCTAGCTTGCTTGCTTGCATGACGAACTGAGTGCCGTTTCCGTATCTGGAGCTGCAGCTGAGCTTGTATATGGGGTTGGATTGAGACTCCGATGTGTCAATATATATCCTTCTTTTGCATGCATGCATGCATGAACGGGCGGATGACCATGCCTGCTCATTCTGCCTGCGTTTCTCCGCTCCAAAGTGTCTGCTGCATGCCTGGAATTAATGCACCCTGTTCCCATCCCATCCTCTCCCCTCTTGGAGGTTTTGCTTTCTTCTTTCAGCTGCAAAGGCCCGTTCCTTCATGCAGACAATAATCCCTTTGTCCAAAAATTGCCCAAATCTATCCAGTCCTTGCCGTAAAACCCTTTATTAAGTTCCTTTCATTCTGTACACTTACCGAGAACTATGGGAGGCAGGGCTACGGCCAGCGGTGGATTGACTTTGCAGCGGTGATGCCTAGGAAGTGCCTTTTCCCCCGAGAAGCAGAAAAGAAAACACTTTGCCGATGGACATTGTTTCCGAAACACCTCCTGACCCTCCTCCTCCTCCTCCTCGTCTGAAGCATGGAACAAAAGTTGATATGCATATATATATTTTTATATTTTTATGTATGGGGAGAATCGAGTATCGAGTAGAGAAAAGGAGGTTGTTGGGGGAGCTCGAAGTCATGGGCCGCAGCATTTTCGGAATGCGAGAGACAATCCCGAAACCGGCAGCTGGCCAATGATTATGGCTCTGAACTCCAGGAACGGTACACTTCTAGGAATCAGCACCGATGTGATGAAAAACGCATCGATTCCAAAAATGCTCGATTTTGGTCACGACGACGTCGTCGTCTCTCTACGACTGGGCAACTGCAGTCTCGCTTGCCAGTCTACGCCCACCATTTTCAGTCGGCTCGAATGCAATCGGAATTTCCCCTTCTGTCCCTCCAGCCGCTAAGGAGCCTGGACTGCTGAAATTCGGCATCATGAATTTGTCGAGTGTTCCATGGAGTGAAAACCTCTCGCCTTTTGGAGGCCGGGCACGGAGGGAGTGGACTCATGGAGGCCTAGGAAGACACGACGAGGACTAGAAGATGAAGGGAGCAGCGAGTGCATGGGAGGTTATGAATGTGTGCAGCATGTCTCATCATGGAATCGAGCAAGCGAGCAGAAAGCTATATTCTTAGGCCTCGTCCTTAGACTCTCCTGAATGAATACTCGACTTCATGATGCTGCTGCTGATAAAAAAATATCGGAAAGTAAGGACGAAGATTCTCGGGAGGCCGAGGGGAGATTCCTACACTGCATCATCTTCTGAGTCGAGCTACCGACTATAAGTGTTTGCTGCTATGTGGCTGCGTGAGTGGACGGATGGCGTTCCAGGCCGATGCTCTAGCCTGCCTGCTCCCAATCAATCATCGCCTGGCTCTCGAGTGCGCCCTGCCCCATCGGAGTTGGCTGGTTTTTTGAGCCCATGTGGGTCGGTTCTCTCTTTTCCCAGCCGCAGCTCCAGCTCCAGGCTCTTCTCTCCTCCTCTTCCCCTCCTCTACCCCTCTCAAATCCATGTGTAGGAGTTGTTTCCCTCGTCGTTGGCTGATTGGCTGATTGGCTGATTGGCTGGCTGGCTGGCTAGGGATAAGTTCGCTCTTTTGCATGAGAGCTACTTCTGCTTTCTGCCCATATCATAATCTTCAAGGCGTCGATGATGAATGAATAGCTTGTAGCACCAGCACCTGATTCTCCTCCTTTCCATGCTGTAACTGGACGCTTCAACGATCGCCCACCACCATTATCCCTACCGCAGAGCTTCTCAGCTGAATTATTACATTCGCATCGGAGACGCTCTTTCTCTCGCATCGAACTTGAAGCGCAATAGCCTTCCCCCACCCCCGCCCCCCAACCACAAGCACTCAACAAATTGTTTCCTTCTCTAGGGAGCATGTGGATTTGAAGAATTGGAAAGGCTAGTGTTGTGAGGAGGACAAGTTCCAGCTAAATGAATACAAATTCTTCGACCGGAGTAGCTCTATCCAGTCTATGCTAGACACCTCGTTACATTAAATTGCAGACTCCACTTGTGAAGCTCGTTTGGGATTTGTGAAGGGGAAGGGACCCATGAGGAGACGTGGTCCACACTCACTCTCGAGGGGAGGGAAGGACTGGGCGGTGCAGGACAGGGCAGGGCGGGGCAGGGAGGGGACTCGGGGAGAGAAGCTATGGCGAGGGGTTGCAGCTGGAACGTGGTACAGGCAGAGGCATGTGCTGAGACAATAGGAAATAACAAGCCCATCGTCCCATTGGACCCGATCCCATTTGTTAGTTGTTGGTTAGTTAGTTATCCGTCGTGGGGGAAGTTCAATCAACTTAAGAGATGATAGGTTGAGCCCCCGGTGGTTATTGCATGTGCATGAGGAGTTTGTTGTTTTGTCTGAGTCTTCATTTCTCTAGTCAAGGACCCCATGGATTTTTGCCCAGCCCAGCGTGGTGCACTGGGCTGGGCTGGGGCTTGCTTGGCTGGACTACAGGAAAAGCCTGGAAACAAGGGATTTGTTGTCTCCCTGCATTGAAACCCGATTCAACATATTTCGTTATCGATGCACACACTTCATTTCGCGGATCGAGTAGCATCGTATTGTACCGGAATCTACAGCAATCTCGAATCTACGCACTAGATACATATCTATGTCTCGTTCCCTCGTCTGCTGAGGGAGGGAGCGAGGGAGGGAGGGAGAGGCTCGCAATCCAAAGATGTGAGCGAGGATAGAAAAAACGTGCATTTGCATATTTTACTAATAAATTCATTCGTCATATCTCCGGATGCCGATCGATCGGCAGGAAGCTCTTGAAGCAACGGATGTGGACATGGGACGTGTGAAGTTCTGTCTTTTGCCTTTTCCTTTTCAACTGTCTTCTTCTTTCAACGAGATCGAGGTCCTTAGTGTACTACACTTACTAGATAGTTGGTTATCGACGCTACCAACCCAAATCTTGAAGCGTTTTTGTACTTGCAATCTTTTGAAAGTGTGTCCAAAGCTTTGCTTCAATCCTAATTCCACATGTACATCGCCGATCAGTCAACTGTGTACAAGTAGCTGCTGCCTATTATATGTATCCGATCCGAAGTTCAACAACTAACCAACCAACTAATGCAATCTTACAGTAGCCATGGAAGGGTGGAAATATCTGCTCATGTTGCTCACCTTCATTCAGACAAAATGCAAGGAAATCAACCACCAACAAAGGTTGACTGCAGTAGCTTACCCACCACACCCCAACGACCTGATCGTCCATCCAATTCCGAGAGGATCTCTAATTTGTCGACAAAAGGCAAACAACGAAAACGAGACAGAGTCGGACAGCCTGCGTACATGAGAATTATTACCTCAATGTCGACGCAATGAGTTCGATGGTCTGGCAATTCTGGAGTCGCCCTCCTTCCCTCGGACGATGCTTTCCACTCTAGGCAGGCGAATTGAAGAGTGTGGAGAGAGAGCCTTGGAAGGAAGGCCGTGGAAGGGAAAGTGCAGGAGAGAGGGCAGCGTGATTGAGAGCCGGAGGTGTGAGTTTATGGCCGGGACAGGAGAATTTAAGATTTCGGTTGTTGAGCGTAAGCATCTGGGTCGTTCAAAGGTTGAGCTGCGAGGCGAGGTGGGCTGATCTCATCGCGAGCCGATGCTGTTTTCAAATCACGTCAGATTCTGAGGCCGGCCGGCGGGACTGAGTCATGCGTACCGGGATCGGCAGAGTTTGATGTAGTTAGTGCCAGTGAGGAGAGTGTGTTGCCATCAGGAGTCGTCCTCCCAAGGTCCTGTGACTCGTGATCAGGATTTGCTGAGGTTTTCTGATTCCCTGGAGAGAGTACGTTCCCGATTGGGAATCTGTAGGTCGTAGTACCAAACTCCCATGGAAAAAGGGATCCGGACCAAGGAGCCACGCATGTTGTCACAGCGTGCCCAGAAGAGAAGAGATCCTTCCTTAGATGGGACCTGGGAATTGGGGGGGAATTGGGGAGTGCCATCATTCAAACACAAGGACTAAGGGTGCGAAGTTCTCGCGGATCAGCCCCATAGTGCTGTACTCGTGGCTGGCCGAAGGTACGCAGACAGGCAAATACAGTTCCTCGAACTATTCTGGAAAGGACTTTGATTGGAACTGCAGTGCTTCGACTCGGTGGCCACATCCTACTCTAGTGTGCTTTTCGGTATCGAGACTCGGATGGTGTACTATGGCGGCGACTGTAGGCAGTGTAAGCAACATTCAAAATGTGTTCCTCGACGCACAGGAAACTCTCAACTTGTTGATTCCACGTAGATACTTTTGGAGATCTATCATCGAAAGGGAGCAACAAGTAGGTACGGATAAAGTGAGATATCCCAAAGCGAATGAGCAGTCCCAAAGCGCTGGCGTTTGCCTACAGGAAAGTTGTTGAACCTCGTTCTGTTTTTCTCCAGAGATGAGCTTGGCTCAGGTGGACATTGGACTCGACTACTAGCCGCTCCCTGTCAGGCCTGGCGAGCTTTCCGTGAAGAGTTTTGGATGGCAACCATTTCAGTCCTGTCGAGAATGACAGCTGGTCAGTCCCATGTTCGCTGCATTGACCTGCAGAATCTCCGTGGAACTTGGAGTACGTCGTTAGATTGTGTTCAACTGTTCCCAGGACTATTGCACGACCGCATGCCGCTTCGACAGAAGCTTTCTGCAGTGAAGACGTGATGCAAGGCAAACTGTGTACATAGACATCTGAAGACTGCACTCGAAGTCGTAGAAGTTTTCATGAAGAGCTTTATATTCAATGATAGCGCCAAACGAGAGCAGCTCGAGCAAATTCATATTTTGACCAGGAAAAAGTCAGATCAAAACATCCCACATTCCAGCTGTGAAAGCTGCGGTGACGGAGTTTGACTCGAGTCGAATTGGATTTGACTAATTGGCTTCGAAAAAAATTGGACGCCCCGAATTCCCTTCAGAGTCCAAAGAAAGTAGCTCTGAACCCGAAACTTGCTAGGGTTCCGGAATCCACCTTACTTTAATCGGCTGTTCTGAGAGGGAAGGCTGGTGGCTGATATTAACACATACATATTCCCAAGTGACACATCTTGGATAAGTATGTCCATAAACACAACCCAATGATGGGGGCAACTCTAATCCTAGATATTGTACATCGCTGGCTGAACGGTACCTAACAATGGACTAATCCGGGTCCCCCACCCTCCAATTGTCAGGTTTCCTGCTGATGAGCAAGAGCTGATTTCACTGCTACTGCTCCATTCGTTAGAGCTTTGTATCCTGTTCAATTCCAAGTAAGGCGCCACATGAGACCAGTGCAGGATCAGTAATGTGGATAGGGATAGGTTCAACCCTGATCTGGAACAGTTCCTAATCTGATCCAGTACACCTGTTTATCCAGCAAGTTTTCATCCTCGGTTCCACTCTCAACAATTATTGCAAAAAGATAAAGTTCTTACTTCTCATCAGTGAGTACAGACGTGAGGAGAGAAAACGTGATCAACGGTTGCATACATTTGCTGAGTTTACCGAGTCAAAGATTGCACTGCTAGAACGATTGTACCGCATTTAATAGACATCCTCACCTGTTGTACATGACCTAGTTGAAGCTTCAAAGTACTTCCTTCTCCAGTCGCAAAACAGCCATGAAAGCATCCTGTGGCACATCTACTCTACCCACAGCTTTCATTCGCTTCTTGCCTTCGGCCTGATCATCCCAGAAGCGGCTAGTGAGTTGAAGTGAAACACTTTTTAAGTCTACATTTCTTTTAATCAATTTTAAAGAAAACCCTTGTAGGCATTGAAACTTCCGTCCTACCTCGGCTTTATGACTAACCACGCTATCCAGAAGAAAAAACTAGAAACGATTGATGGGCATGAATATTTTACAAAAATTCACCAATGACTTCCCATCGAACCAAAGCACGGAGCAAAAAGATGGCTTCATGAAAACACGAGTAAATCTGCAAACTACATATTCCATGAGAATGTTGAAATAAAACATATACCTGTTTACTCAAAAGCTTTTTCTTCCTCGTGATATCTCCTCCTGTCAACCAGAAGAGTGGCTTCATCGGCTCAGACATGAAAAAACTGATTCAAACGTACCCGACCCGAGCGGATGAAAAGAATCTAAATGACCTAGAAAGATAATAAAAAAAGCCGTTCTTACAAGAATCTAGCATGATACTCTCTCAGAGGCGTTTGATCATAAATTACGCAGCTGTCAAACTCACAACAATGATTATGAATTACTAAACTAATTACTATACCTAATAAAAAAAATTGAATAAAACTTCTATTCTGGAACTTGTAACCTGCAAGACTTTATTGAGTTACAAATTGGTCCCTTAAAAAGACCACACAAGGCTTACCATAACATTTAGCCAGCACATCCTTCCGCATAGGTGATATGGCCTCGCTGGCGATGACTTTAGCTCCTATGGTTGCCTGATTTCAGGACGTCGAAAAAAATCAGATTTGTCTCTCATTGCTATGACGACCTCCTTGTTATGAAGATGAGTTTATACCAAGCCGCCTAGTGAACTACAACAATTTTAGTGAATATGCTTTGGGAGCTCGCAAGAGGTGCGTACAAACAAGCCACACGGGCTAAAAATTTTACTTCACAAACAAGTCCAAAAACTCGAGCCTACCTGTATAGGTATCTTGAACAGCTGTCTTGGTATCAGCTCCTTAAGTTTCGAGGTCAACGCTCGGCCTACATGATAGGCCTGCACATTCACGCTTGGTGTTAGTAATGCCGCAACATTTGGCTCCACATACATTCGAATCAAGGGCGGAACCCAAATTCGTGTACCATAAACTGTCCCTGTGTTCTAGAAAGTTAGTAAGATGCAGTAAAAAAGCGAAATATGAGCAAGTCAGTTAGCTGCTCACACGCCTTCAACAGTCTCCAAACACACTGCTTCCAGATGAGATTGTGACAACTAATCCTCTAAATTGCAGAGTCTAAACTCGATGTCCTCAATGGGCTTGACGAGAACCTTATGCAGTGAAGGTACTGTACCTTATCTCTATGAACAATGGTTGCTAAAGGATCCACAACTTCTCCGTTGATCAATATGTCCAGTCTGACTAGATCACTTTCTCTATACCTGAACAATGCACAAGGAAAGCAGGAACATATATTGATTAAGTAGATAGAGGAATAAAGAGCTTTTCAAGACATCCAATCATATTTTCCTTTGCGACTGATGATAACTGAAAATGCCCCTGAATTCTGTGTTCTCCAGAAAGTCACATGTTTTGGGTCATAAAAACGTTCCTTAGTTCAATAGAACTAGGAATGTGAATTCTTGGCGACCAATTCAAGCGCGAAGGTTGTGTGTATTGTGTTCGATGTTTGCTCTCATAGGGTCTCCTCATCCGACGAACAATATCAACTCAAATCATTTTGAAGGATGTTCAAGTGTATTATCAGGCAATTTCTTCTACATACCCCACAAGTGAGTATTCCATGCTTGCATAACCCTTGCTCCGGGACTTCAACTGGTCAAAGAAATCACCAACCATCTGCGAAATTGGAAAAAGAAAAAGCAGAGCCCGGCATCACTATCACATGATATACATAACAATTACCGCTTTTGCGTCTACAAATATATATGTTTTTCATGAGAAAACACTGAACCCCAAAACTTGTATGAACAAAAACAGTAGAGAAACCACTACCTTCACAGCCCATGCAAATAAACATAAACAAAAACCTTGAACTCCCATAAATTGTAAACCAGAAAACAACAAACGGGTAACAACCTTCTGAAGATATACGGATCGATAAACAACAGAACAATCAAATCTGTTAGACCATGAGATCGATTCCTATGAGTCGTACCTCGCCTAACGGCAATTCGTACACAAGAGAAGCCCTTCCTTCGGTTATGTATTTCATCTCCTTGAATATTCCACGTCGATCTTGTGCAAGTTCCATGAGAGGACCGATGTACTCCTTAGGTGTGATCATATCAATCTTCAAGCATTCGCAAACTAGAGTGAGTGAAAAAAAAAACCTTGTATTCTATTTAGATGAACAATACTAAAATTATGCATTGATTTCGCGGCTATGAAACGTAAAACAGATCATGCGATGGAGCATAATAGCTATTTAGAAACCTTGTGACCAACAAACATTGACACAATAACAACGACACGCAACCAGGAATCGATTTCAGAACTTTGTGCACCTTGATGAATGGTTCTTCTAGGGCTTTCCTCTTTCCTGGATCTGGAAGTTGTGAAGGGTTTGAACACTCCACCTGACGAAACATGCAACATACGAAGCCGGACTTTCAGATCATCAGAAATATACTCGCATCTTCTTGACAGAAATTGGATAACGACTATTGAAAAAACTTGAATAGATAGATAGAAACGAAGTAGTAGGAATACATACAACTGAATTATCGTTGCAAATAACTTTGTACACAACACTAGGTGCTGTCGTGATGAGATTTAAATTGTACTCCCTTTCGAGCCTTTCCTGCGGGATGTCAAAAGCTTCAAAGTTCATGATCAAGTGCATACAGCGGAATCGACAGTGAGGCAATATTCGTAGACTAGTAATAGGTGAAAGTCAATCTCGTATTCATTTTGACTTAGATAAAAACTATATATTTGACAATTATATCATCACACTGGATTTTGGGTCACCAACTACTGAAAAGCGGCATGCCTGTTTCGAGTCCTTAGTCATGCTTATGCCTCTATGAGAGAGTGTGATGTATTTAATCATGCCATAACATCAGATGGCAAAAAGTTATCAAATGTGAAGAGGACGCAGGAATCTAAGAACCTGCACGATTTCCATATGCAGAAGCCCAAGAAAGCCGCATCTGAAACCAAATCCCATAGCACTTGACGATTCAGGCTCATACTGCACAATCAAACTGCACTCATCAGCAAGTGCTAGTCAAAGCCTGTAGACCATTGCATAACGTAATCGAGAGGACATCCTCCAGACTGTAAAGCTCAAGTTTAGAGACATAAACAAGTACCAGGACAAGAGCCACAATAGTCAGAAGCGGTGTCTGTAACTTCCACACATCTTTGAGGAACTTTCCAAATCATAAGCACTGGTGCAACATGTTTTAGGAAAGGTCTTACGACAAGACTGGCCTAAAAGGCGTCAAGATAGATTTTATGATCGTAAAGAGTAAATATGGAGAGATAATGGAATTTACATACTTGCAAAGCTGCATCGTTCAGCTGAAGCTTTTCCAAGGCTTCTCGTAAGTTCGGAAACCTGTTTCAACACATTAACATTCATGAGACTATTCAAAAACAGAAAATCTTCTATCACTTCACAGGGTCCTATAATACTTCCAAACCAACTTCTCCATCCGAACCTGTAAAGTTTTGGGCGAAAATTTCTTTAGAAACAAACATATACTAGCAACCAGGTGCACAACAAGATATGGGCAAGTTTAAAGGACAACACCAGCTGTTTCTTGCAAACGCATCCAAACGCATCCAAAGATTCAGTTGTTCATAAGGGATCCGCAGGCTTCCTTCACTGCTTAAATAACGGTCGGCACGAATCGAGCGAAGCCAAACCTATTATTACACAAATATAGCAATTTCCACGAACACGTGAAGAAAGATGTGCTATCTTACTGATCAGCCTCGATAGGAAAAAGGCCACAGAAGACCATGGGTGTTGCTTCCTCATAACCTGGTAAGGCCTGAGTAGCCTTTCTTGTACTCTTTGTGATGGTATCACCTACTCTTGCATCTGCCACTGATCTTATTGATGCAGCTAGGTAACCTACCTGAGCAGTACAAGACGCAGCAGCTCCTCACAATTAGTGACGAAAGATCGCTTACAGGGGTTAAAAGAACTCCCTTTGACATATTACGATATGTGAAATGTTGCCTTCTTAAGGGCCAAAAACACTGCAGCATAGATGTAAGTACATGTCTTTTGCTACGCGATATTTTTCAAATATTGCATTCAAAAGCTTTGTGTACTTTCCAACCCTTTTACTGCTATTTTAAACAGGAAAGTACTCATAGCATCTGTTCCATATCGTTCGGTTGTCAAATTGAGTTGATATGATGAGAATCTGCACAAAAATGTTCAAGAAAATTTCTAACCATCTTCATATCAGTCGTCAGAGTCGAACTGATGATAGGTATCTTCGACATGTAATTCTCATCTATAATTCTTTTCAAAGCCTTGAAATATTCGACAGTTAAGATCCTACATTACCTACGAGTTTGGTAATTGTAGAGTAAGAAAGGTAGAAAAATTACCTCCCCTGCGTAAAGCTCCTTCACTTGCATCTGTCCAGGGGACAACACACCAACTTCTCCCACTATGTACTCCTGCACATTGGTAAGTAAGCTGATGGTATCAAATCAAAAGTGGTTGAAATAGGATTACTTGGAAGTTACGGCCAATTTGTTAGCTTGGCTACTGTAGCCTAACTGCAAGAATGGCAAACATGTCTGGTGAATATTCCGAAGTGGTTCTGAAGCACTCCTGCTATATTCGAGAGTTACCTTTCCACTAGCCATAAACTGAACTGAATCCCCTTCTTTTACACTTCCATCCATCACTCGAAAATATACGATAACCCCTCTGTACGGATCAAAGTAACTGCACAACTCACAAACAAAGCAAGGTCATAGGGATACATGTAGCGTGTGGTGCATGACAACATAAGATTGTAATATGTGAGAAATCCAAGATAACTGAAGAACTTCTCTACAGAAGAAAGACATTTGGTAATGAACCAATTGTGTATCAATATCACATGATTTAATCTCTCTTCTATTTTACGTTCATTTCCGAAGCCTTCAAGGACTGGTAAATCGCTAATCAAAGAAAAGCAAAGCACTACCAAGCATACGAAGAACTTTGGACAAAATTGTACACATAATGGATACTTCTACTCATATTCACTATGGCACAGCAGCGTCACTTGCCTGTCAAAAATAAGGGCCCGAAGAGGTTCTGCGGCAGTGTCCTTCGGGGGAGGAATCTTCTGTATTATAGACTCCAGTATCTCATTGATTCCTATTCCAGCCTGTGCAGGTTGTCCTTCTAAACGTTAGACCGATTGATTCTTGAAGAACTACAGTTGAGCAAAACAATCTTGGCGCTGATCACCCTTCTCTCGATTGTCCTAACATTTCTTTATCTTTAAACCTCCAGTGTCAGGTTGACAACGATAGAGTGACCCACATTCCTTGCGCTTGATTAGTATTGTTTTCTGAAGTAAAATGCACGCAGGAAAGGGAGACCAAGGATAAAACCTTCGCTGAGCATCTGATGGCATCCGTACAGTCCAAACCGACAATCTGCACCAACATGAAATAATTAACCAATTAGCATGAACTAGCACGTAGTCATGGCGAGGTAAGTGAAACTGAATAGATGTACTACTGTAGCTAGTAATTCAGCCAAGCCTGCAGCAGAGTCGAGAGCGCTTACCTCTTCAATTTCTTGAGCAACACGATCAGGATCAGCCCCTGGTAAATCTATTTTGTTGAGAACCTGTCAAGATAAAAAGAAAGGCATTAGTGGGGCCTCAAACAAAAGCAACTAGTGTGTTGACCATTCTTTTACTTCTAAGTAGCGTATGTCATGCTTGACAGAATGTGAATTAGATTAAAAAAAGTCGAAGTACATAATTATGTTGGTAAACGATGAAACTCACCGGAATGATTTCAAGGTTGTTTTCCAAAGCAAGGTAAACATTAGCCAACGTTTGAGCCTCCACCCCCTGCAGTTAAAGAATGCTTACTTTTCAAGCCTTGGATACTGGAGATCTACTCGTGGGGTTCATTGATCACAGAAGGCATCTACGCAGAACAAACTACATTACATCATTGTCCACTAGGAAGAGCTTTGACACAAGTATGCAACTGTTGAATTTGCTCCAAAATTCACTTCAACCCAGAATGAAGTATGGACGTCCTTCCTGTTATACTACTGCTACATCTATTCTCTTCATTCTCACTTCAAGGCTTCGTAATTTGTTCAGATCTACTGGGTTCCAAACGAGGATAAATTCGTAAGAAAAACTTTGCGAAAATTAAACTCTACAACTCCAGGTAAAGATACAGCACAGCAGAAACAGGAACTTTCTTCCATCTGATGTCTCTGCCTCGCAGAGAAAAGAAGAAACATCAGGCAGGACAAAGTAATGGCCTGTCTTCACCGAGGTTTCATTTCTCTCCCTGATACCCCACTCCGAGAACTGAGCATTATTCTATTACCTTTAAAGGAACCTAGATAAAGTCTAGATCTAATTTAGATAAAATCTAGATAAAGAAATTCAAATTCTCGAATCACCTGAGAAGCATCGACAACAAGTAGAGCTCCCTCACAAGCAGCCAAGGACCGTGAGACCTGCAAGTGAGTATATCCAAGTATTACACTGATAAGCTGGAAAAGAGCAGCCTCAGACCTTGATTCAAGATACAAAAATTCTAAACGCGATGACAATTTCAAACTTGCGCAAAACTGGCCATAACTACTATATATATACACTCATCCAACAACACAGCGTAAGAACTTTCACAGTCTTCAATATTAAAACGGCTCTTCCTGTGTAATCACCCGTCCGCATTGACATGGAAATCACAATCATTCTGGTGAGCGGAAATTGCACAGATAGGACTCTAACTCAAGAGAAATTTCACCTGGATGGATTCATAGTAAATTGTCTACATACCTCGTACGTGAAATCAACATGGCCAGGAGTATCTATAAGATTCAGGCAGTATGCTTCGCCGTCCTGACCAACATATCGCATCCTTGCTGCCTGCGCAGATACTGAGCTGTCAAACCTTACTTACAGAAAGGGAAACGGCATCCGTTGAACACAAAGAAAAGTCGGAAGAGGCTGTACTATCATACAAAGTCAAATTGTACACATACGAATTTGATCACGGAAACTATATATTACAGAAAAAACACTTTATACGTATATAACTTAAGGAGTATTGACTAGGCAGAAACTCCAAATAGATGTCTTGCTTCCAAATTTTTGAATCATATACTTCGCGTTCTTTAAGCATCTGAAAACGGGTGGGACAAGTACGAAAGAAGAAGGTTCATGAACAACTTGACTAGGCTGACATTGCTAAGATGCTCATCCAAGTGGATTATGTATGAAGAAAGTGAGATAGTGTCCAACCTGTAGCTTGATTGTTATTCCACGTTCTCTCTCCAGGTCCATGTTGTCTAGAAACTGCTCTTTCATGTCGCGTGCTTGTACGGTTCCAGTTACTTGCAGCAACTTATCAGCCAAGGTAGACTTACCATGGTCGATATGTGCAATGATCGAAAAGTTTCTGATTTTCGATATAGGAACCTGGAAGTCCACGACCATGGTAAGACAGACCCGGTTAGATGGACATCAATGAGTTTCGTGATATCATCCAGCAAACTATTGCCATTCATCATAAGATTTGCAAGTGACTTTGTTTTATATCATTTAAACCGAGAATCATTACTGCACAGAAAACTTATAAAACATGGGACCGAACGGCAGCCTTAGGCGTAATATCGTTAGTTTGCTGGGCAATGTAGCAACATGGGGCAGATGTGAATCTAGAGCAGAGTGACAGAGCAGTTAAAAACTTATCAAACAATTAGCACTCATGACCTGGGATGCACAAATTACGTTCTGGATAATGGTTGAAACACGAAAAAATAGAGATAAAAAGAATTACTTAGCAATGTGCTTGAGGTGAATAAATAAAATGGTCACAACCGAAGCTAAGTTGAGGTGATCGAATTCTTATTCTTTTCAAGAAAACTACACAACATCATCCTTATACTTCCTGGATTGCTTCTGTAAGTCAAGCCTCCACTCTTGGTGTCATCACGGTGCAAACTATCATCTTAATCAATCAAGGAAAAACTAATGTAACAAAGAAATCATAGCAAATACAACTCCCTTTGCATTGAGTACGATCTCATGCGTTCGGATATTAGCCATCATCCTGACAAAGTGGAAACGCATCATGAAAAAAAATATCACAATCTAGCTATTGTAAATACTCACAAGAACAGAGCTATGGAGGCTTTTTCTTTCAGATATTTCCAAGGATACAGGTGAGAGTCACTGCGGAGCTAAACAACGCTATTGATTTGTTCGTTCACTAGTCACACTGAACTTGCAGTTTTTAGTCCAGAAAGATGAGACTGCGAAGACTCTTCAAAAAATTCAGGGGCTGCCCCGAAACATGATGACTTAGATTACAGGGAACCAGAGTGACGTTATCCCTGTTCAGAAACTCAGTTGTAAGGAGATGGTGTGAAGATGAGAGGAATGCGATCAGAAGAACACGGTCAATGAAAATTTCCACTGTAATTCGAGCTATCCTACTGACGGATAGTTCGAATTGCCATTCCGCTAATCCATACATTTCTGCAGTCTTTCAACACGAATTTCGTGACATTTGATGATGCATAGATGAAATAATGGCACCAACATACTGGAGAAGCAATGAGAAGCTTAAAAGTACCTTCGCAAGACGGTCTCCGCCATTGCTGATGTCCCGCTCCTTGTTATTTTTTGAAGATTTAGCCGGAATAATTTCCGAAGCCTGAGCTCGGCAAATTGAGCTCGCCCTCTCCTTCCCGAAACTCCTCGCGGCTCTAATTCCGGCTCCATGCTCACACCTGACTCCAACCTGTCCATTCCCACCACTACCTTCGGCATTCCTGGCCGAAAGCGTCACGCCATTTCGAATTCTGCCTCTTTCTCCCCTTCCTTGACAATTAACGAACGCTAAACCGTTCTGTCTACTGAGGAAGGAGTGCCTGGCGCCACACGAGCTAACGAAATCGGACGTAAAGACACCGGGATCAGTTTTGATCACCAGTGCATCCATATCTCGTCCAACTGCGCCACACCGCGAGACTCTCTGCCCCTCCCTGTTCAAACACAGTTCCCTTCAATTCTTCCTCGTCCGCGGAAGAGCAACGAGAGGAGGACGAGGCGGAAGCGGACGAGCGTCGTCACTCATTATCCACCTTCATCTTCCTCCGCTGTACATGACAAAGAACCCGCAGATACTTGCAGTACATTTTGGACATAGACTCGCACTGATGGACTTACTGCAGACCGATGGACGTTCTTTATCCACCGAGTATTCTCGCCTTCCTCTTCGCTCCGCCGTGTCCGGGAGATGTAAGCCATGTACGCGTATTATACTCGTATTATCGTGTATGTAGCGTACTAGTGGATCGCGTCTGAATCATGGGGGCGAACTCGGCTTTTCTGCCTCCCATTTTAGAAGTATTCGGGATGTGCTCGTTGGTATACACGTGGATGCATTCTCAACCTGGGGGTTTATTGCGAACGTGGATTTCATTCCAATATCCTGTCTAATGTGTCAATAATTTCCAGAAATCGGAAATCTTTTAGCCTTAATAATACTACTGCGATGATACGATTGTTCCATAGCTGCTATTCAAGAATAGGATCAGACTGATTTTACGGTCTTAACATATATGTCAAGGTGTTTTTTTAATTTTCTCATTTCTCCCAACTCATTGCAAATATAAATTCATATAAATTTACAATAATCCAACCCATTTACATAGTCTCTTACAAAGGCTCTACATCCATGAGTAAAATCCTTGTCTAGAGACTCTAATAATCATTTCGTTGCAACATCATAACAAGTCTTATTGAGTTGCATATGAAATCCATAAACTAGCGATATAATGCGGGTTGTAAAACATGTTCATCATTTTATCTTTTATCAAGGTCATGCCAGAATGCAAGAAATGAATATACCACTGGAGCTAAATTTACATGAATAAAAACATTTACTACTACCATCAGTGCATGACTACTATTGGACACATTACGAATCCAAACATATTATTAGAGATAAGTTTAAGTTTCATGCTAACTAATGAAATATTATCATTTTGTATATAATGATTACAAAAGATAACTATGTTGTTGCATGCTTTGTAAAAATGCCATATATCTCAACTATTGACAAAAAATTTATGTTAATAGAATATATTACAATCAAAAGTATATAATTTTTAAAATTATGTTTAAAATTTTAGTTTTCAGCAAACAACTTGTTGCTAAACAGTTACATAAGGAGCATAAATCTCCTACCTTGAAAGTGATTCCATGAATTAATTGAATCAATTTTTTTCAAATTCATTCTATTATTTTATATTTTACTATTTAAAATAACATGTATAACCTACTTGTATCCAATATATGGGGACGTGGTTATATTAATTGGCCGCTTAAACTAGTTCAATTTAGTCGCATCAAGAAAATTAACTTAGATTAATTTAGATACTTTTGTGCTAACAGTTGACTTGAGTGCACTTGGGAAGAAGCTCTGAAGCTTACTCAAAGCGCATCTCATCGATATGACTCTCCAGGAGATGAGATCAGATGTCGTAACATGAAGCTCTAGAGCCTACTAAAAGCGCATCCTGTCAATGTGACTCTCCGAGACATGAAATCAGAATTCGTAACATGAAGCTCTAGAGCTTACTCAAAGCACATCTCGTCGATGTTACTCTCCGGGAGATGAGATCAGAATTTGTAACATGAGGACAACTTCTCTCTCATTGTCCTCATGTTATAAATCGACCAATGTTACAATAATCATCGACGTGTCGTTAGTCAAGTACCCCCTAACAATTGACTTAAGTGCACTTGGGATCTATAGAATAGTTCAGAGGGGGAGATAGAATCACATGGGATCTTGCGGGGCAAGAGATTATTCGATTTACAAACTTCTACAAATTTACAGCGAGAGACATATTAACTATAAGACTGACACGCTAACAATCATCACAACTTAATGCTTGAAGTATCTCATGCTCCAATTCAAAGAAAATTATAGTCTAGATGCTACGATTAATTTAGGTGATACATGGAGCATCAATTAAGGATGAGCACGTAGCCGGCTAAATTATTACTAGCCGGCTAATCTATACAAATGGCTAGTCGGCTAGTGTTCCAAGTCTGGATGTCTAGACATTGCCTAAAAGTCTTGCCACATATTTTGAAAATACATACATGTGTCTTCTAGTTTTGACTCTCTTTGCAAATGAGTGATTCTCTCTATGTTTTTGTGCTTTAGTTTTTTTTGTTCGATAGAAACATAACACATGTGTTCCTTGCACACAAGAATGTTGATGGCAAAAACAACGAGTAGGTAGAGTGAGTGAACAGGTAATGCACTTGTAGACATGAACAATCACATATTATAGGAAAATTTGATGGCGTTATAGACCAGTATAAAGACTCAGAGAATGGTGAACTTGTTGTTCTACCCTTCTCTTCACCGGCATATCTTCTAGTGGTTGCCGTACAAACAAAAAAAAATGCTAATATTGGATTCGTCCGTACTTTGTGACTGTACCAGGATCCAATAGACCTGCTTGCATTGCAAGCAATTCATGTTTGAGAAGTTATTCAATCACCTCAAATCTTGTTCTACATTTGAGTAATAGTCATCGCATCACTCACAAATCACTTGAATATGCAGTGCGAGATGATACTATCCAAACCACCTTTTCAAAATCCAGTTCATATTTGGAAGTGCATAACGTTTTGGATGACAAGGCAAAGGCAAAGATCATGACAATTGTGCTAGATTGAGTGATTGACACAAAGCAAAGTTATTCTTCAGTTGAATCACCTTACTTCAAACAAATGAAGAAAAAATTGATTTTGGCTTGGTTGTTCGTGCCGAAGTCTTACTCGTGTCAAATCAGACAATATGATTACTGCAACCAAACAGATTTGTGATATTGTGGAAGCTATTTCAGGAAAAGTTGAAAATACTTGTGATTGATGGTACAACAGAACTTTGCAAAGTTATTTTGTGATTACGCTTCATTGAATTGATGATACTAGGACGTTGCATGATTGCATTTTTTATTTTAAATATTTTCCACCACCTCAAAATCAGAGGTTTACAATGATGTTTATTATCGATCTTTGGTATTAGCAAATGTGCACGTGAAGATTATAGTTGCAACAATTGACAATGTTAGTGAGATAATTCATGTTTCTAGCATGTAAGGAACAAAATGAAAAATAAATTTGTTGTTAATCAAGATTATAGATGACAACTTTGTTATGTTTGTCATATCTTGTATTGTGATGCGATTGATAGTGAAACAATTTTCAAATCCAAGATGGAAAAACTTTGCGCAATTTTGAATGCACTCCGCTTATCATCTCAAATGTGCGCTAATTTCACAAAAGTTCATGTTATTCTAGAGGCGCGAGAACACAAGATGAAAGAAGTTACTAGGCTTGACGTGGAGAATAGGTGGAAACCCATGATTACAATGATTGATTGTACTACCGTCCCATGTAGTTATTTCAATCTCTATCAAACATGTCTAAGCACTATAGTAAGATTGTGACTTTGATTTCAAAAGAATGAATAATATTCAAGTGCTTCAAAGATTTTTTTTGCTCCCGCTTATGAAATGATCATTTTATCTTACGAATAATATGCAATCTTATCAAATCAACCTTTGGCATTTGAATTTTTGAAGACACATTGCTAAGAAATCATCATCGGTACGATTAATTTTAGTTTTATTGCACCGGAGTCTAAGGATACTGCAAGAACATTGATGGTAAAATTGGAAAAATATTAGGAGCATTTGACAAACTCGCTACCAATGTTAGCACTAGCAATTGATCTTGCAGTTTCAAAAACGGACGAAGAAATAATAATTATGACATCACGACCTTGAGAAAATTTTTGACAATAATATAGTATAAAAGATACATAATAATGCTTACTCTTTCACTTAAAAAAATAGCATCCGAAGTATACTTATCACTGCACATAGAGTACAAACTCAGATATTTGAATTTAACATTGAATGAGATAATGTATCCAAAAAATCACATATTTTTTGCAAATGTCAAAATCTACATTTTTAAACAGCAATGTAATTGTCACCGCGGAGCAAAATCATTTGTGTGACACTTCTATTGAAAGTATCATAAAGCTGCGATCATAAAAAAAAATGTTTTATGAAATTAATAAAGTAGCTTTGTGAATTATTAAGCATTCCAGATTTATTATATTAGTTTTTCAAAAATGAAGAAACTGAATTTCCTTTGTCATTTGTGTTTAATTTACTTCAATTTGTGTTCTGTTTGTTTCGTGAATGATCGTTTATGTTTAATTTTTGTTCAATTCTTCACCCATTGAATGAATTCATGAGTTTTTTTGGATATCCCAGATAGGAAGTGCTTTGCAATGCAGGACTCCACAGGATTTTGCACAATAAATCATCATACTCTTGTCAAGAATGGCTCAACACGAAGCACTCACCAACTTAGTTGATGAGCGGATGACTAGTCAACTAAAAATATATTCTAACCAGCTAGCTGTTAGTCGATGCGTGTACATCTCTAGCGTCGATTTAGTTAATTTATGCACCTTGGTATACAATCAACTAACACAACTATGCTTGAATATATGTGATCAGAGAGTTGTAGACAACTGGTATAATTTAGAATTATTTTCATGTCTCATATGATATACCTTACGTGAAAGTAAAATTTTTTTTTTATATAGATACATAGTATATGTATTTAGTGAATTATCTTGAATTATATTTATTGAGATGCTTATGCTTTACATATCAATAAAGAAGTATACATTTTTTAGTAGATATTTAAATGTTGTATGTTATTCAAATAAAGAAAAAGTGAACTGTCACATCATATGATTGTGTATTTTATGAAAAATTTGATTACAATATATTTCATATAATATAGAATATTTCAATATTATTTGAAAAATGTAAATTTCTACAACAATACATTTTTACAATTTCATTCAAAGATTTATTTTAAAACACAATCTTATGTAGATGTACAAATGTATACAATCATTATCAACTTTAAAAATTTGCTTCAAACAAAATTTATCTTTAATGATGTACATTATAATTACACAT